AATGGTCAAACGGCAACTAAAACAACCCTTCAAACTGTAACTCCTTTAAGCTCTATATACATATAAAGATATATCATATATATGACATCTCTGTAAATGTGACTCTGGATGCATACGCAGACATCACCAGTAAATGTGTGCAATTTCAGTCAAGCCCTATGTGACAATCGAAACACATCTGAGAAAAGTTTCAAATGGCACCGTCTTCCCTCCCAAAGTAGCTCTACATTTGCCTGTAACAAATACTGTACATACACTACAAACCTCATCCCTGCTCACCAGAAAACAAAAGGGAACTATTTGCTTTTTAAATTTTTTCTTTAATAAATGTATCATTTTATATAAAGACATTCAACAGTGAGCAATGCAATACAGTTCAAGTAATAGACTTAGGGATGTCTGAGTTCCCTATGCAAAACACAAAAGTCTGGTAACAGGGCAAAAAACTAAAGAAACAAAAACCTAGACCGTATGTTGACTGAGGGGAAAGAAAGACCATGACATCCATTTGGTGACGATGCTGCATCTAATTATGGGAACCGATGACGTACAAGACTGTTAAAGGTAGGACATTTTAAAAAGTCAATGTCATGGGCCTACATTAATTGATGAGTGACTGAAGTATCCATGCACAAAAACCCTGATTTAACCTGATTTTTTCCCCTCAAAACGCTGGCTTTGTTGTGTGGTAGCTTCTACGGTAAACTTGGAAAAAAGACCTGAGGGTTAATGACCAGAAACTATGATCGAAAAAGTCGTCCGAATTAAATGGGCCTGCATTCCCGATAGCACCTTGAGAGTTAGCAATAGTATGTGTTGATTTTAGATAAACGTGACTGAGGTGCTTCGGATTAAGAAAACACACAAAAACACACTGGACCAACCTCGCTGTACATTCAAGATTATACTGACAAACCCCATGAAAAAGCAAAGACAACCTGTGACTTAATCCAAGAAAGCAAAGCTCTGAGGCCGTGTCCAGTTCAGAGGCTCATTTGAAAAAGGGAAGGCTAAACCTGCACCTCTGCAAAAAAGCATTTGCAGATGATTCACCACAGTGTCATTGTAAATTCTCACAATATGGCCATAATAAGATTAGAAAATTAGCTTGTGTATACTTACGGACAGTAAACAAAAACACTGATACCAAACAAAAACAATAAGATGCAAAAAAATAAAATTAAAAAAAAATCTAAAATCTCATTAAATTGATACAGTTGCAAAACTGCAAAATACATAGTTTGCAATAGAACTGGAAGCCCAACAATCCAAAGATCTACAGAAACGCACATATAAGCCTGAGAAACTCCTTCCCACTGCAGCAGTGTCTTAAAACTTGTATATTACAAGAAGCCCCTGAAACAGGACACAGCTAATCTCCCTAAATTCTTCATGCTGCAAAAGTTACGTTGGGTTTCTACTTATGGCTGCTATTCTTAACTGAACTGGAAAACTCGGGCTGATAGATCAAGTAAATTTGGCACCAATTTTTTGAAGTGGTCTGTCAGACATGACATACGATTTAGCAGTTGAGCCAGTTTTTGTGTAACTTTTGAGCTACACTTCTACAGGTCTAGAGAAGTGAGTTCTATATACACTTCCATTTTATTCTATTAGGACTACTTGTGAATTTGTGTGGAAACTAAACAGACTTGCAGTCTTAAGAGATTTACTGAAGCAGGTTTACACCTTCTTGATAAGCCTTAGAACAGGTCAATTTAGATTTAATACTGCCACACCGATTCATCCTGTAGTTTACAAAGAAGAAAGAGAAACTTTCACTACCCATGGCTTTCAGCTCCACAAACCTCACTTCTCCCAGTTCATCTACCTATTGTCAGCAGACTAGTGGGCTGTAATGGAGGGAGGGTTATGGTAGATAACAGTGAGCAGACTCCAATAGGTTGTAGAAGACATAGAGATGACTGGAGATAAACACACAGTGGGCACAAACAAGGCTTTATGATTTCTTCACAATGATTCCTTTGCACTTTCCAAACAATAGCACTCTTTCTAAAACTGGACACTTTCTCTCTGTGCGTTTGTGGCCAAGCTTATCAAAACTGGGAAAATCTTAAAGATGACAATAAGAGAGAGGGGTGCTTTATCTAACTTTTTTTTTTTTATTATTAGATGCTCTTTCCAGTTTAAAAAAAAGGCTAATGCCTAACCAGTGTGATTAGTTTTAAGACGAGGATTAGAGTGAGTTGAGAATCACATCTCTGCTTTTTCTTAAGCATTCTCTTAACCTTTGATTTCATTACGACCTTTTAAAAGCTCCATATTATCAGTCAGGCAGCGATAAGTCAACTTGATCACTATGAGAAGATGCTTTACTGTGCTGTGTATTCATTTTCTGGGGGGAATAGAATCTAACTTGGTCGTGTATTGTAGCTCTCAGTGTTTGAAGATATTTTTCTTTTTATCGAGTCGTTGACAGAAAATGGATCCACTGGTTAGAAAGTCACGCAGAGAGCATGTCGTTTGGGTTCAAATAAAAGCCAAACACTATCAGCAATCAGACAGAAAGGGAATTTCACTCCAACAGCTTAACTGTGATTATCTCCAACTTTAGTGCATCTCACACTAACTGCTGAACTACATTAAACACAAAGCTAGATTGCACGTTCTTTCAAGTTTTCAGATTTTCTTCTAAAGCCTGTATCTTCAGCTCAGGACATGGACTTTGTGTGCCTGTGCTCCTTATACATAAACATTTAGTAAAAGCTTATTTTTTTCTGAAGGCGTTCAAACAAAAACACCCCAGTTTTTCAGCCTGCAGTCACATTGCATTAGCTCTTTTCTTTGTTTAAACCACACATAAAATGGGTTTTGGCTTTTATGGCAACATTTTTCACCAAGCTTAGCCTTTCAAAGGCTGGAAAAGGAACCCTTTACCAGTTTACCTTAATGTGCCTTATGCTTTCTCCAGACCAAATTCAAAGTGAAATTTTCACGTCCCAATTATATAGAAAGATAAAATCAAAGAAGCAAATTGGCACAAATTTATGACAGGTAATGCAAATGAAATCATTTTTGCATAGGGTAAATTCACACTAATGTGCTGTGAATTTAGTGTCACCATTATCACAGTTTGTAAGCAGCTAGGCCAGATGATTTCGGTTAACCTTTATACTGATGCATGAAAAAAAAAAAAAGAAAGAGCTTGGAGGAAACTAAGCAAAAATGTTCCCATTAATTTCAGCTATCAGTTTGTCTCAGGAGGAGAAAGAAATTTTGGGGGTTTTGAAATTAGCCAAAAGATGCCATGTAGCTTTAGCTGCTAATTACACCTCCTTTGACTCATCCACTTTGGCGTACACAGCCAAAATTTTGTAAGCGCTGAGATTACAAATGGAGCTTGTTTGAGTGCTTTGAAGGTTGTGGGGTTCATGTACCCTTTGGTTTATAAAAAAAAAAAAGAAAAAAAGAAGTATATTTGTCGCTAAAGCACACGGCCTGAAACTCATTTTTATGTGTGGCCTTAAACACATCATTGCTTATCTTCACCCATTTGCATTCACCAAAGATGGGAAAATTAAATAAAGAAAGAAAAACCCAACAGATGCTTTATCCTCCCCCTTCACACCAACTTTGGTCTCTGGTTGTGATTTGTTACCATTTACACATACTGTGGTGTGAAAAAGTATTCTTCCCATTCCTGATTTTTTTCTTCTTTCAAAAACACATTTGTCACGCTTTCATGTTTCAGAGCCTCGAGTTTTAATCTTAGATAAGGACAGCCTGAGGAAATACAAAATGCAGGTTCTAAAATATTTCAATTTTTAAGGACAAAAAGCAGCTATCCAAACCTTCCTGGCCTGGATCGTGCCCATAGATGCCATTTTTGCCCTGTCTTATTGGTCAATCATGCATGCTGACCTGAACTGAGGCAAGTGACGTCTGTAGTTGTTTACATGCAGTTCTTTTATGAACCCCTGAATAAGTCGTTGATGTGCTCTTGGAGTAATTTTGGCAGGATGGCTACTCATGAGAAGGTTCACTATTCCAACCTTTCACCATGGTTCGCTGGATTCCCTTAGAAATATCTTTGTAGCCCTTTCCAGACAGACAGACGTCAATGACTTTGTTTTTCATCTGTTCAAGTTTCTTTAGATTGTAGCATGAAGTTTCGCTTTTATTTTTCTAATATACTTTAATTCACAACTTCCATATCTGACAGTAAACTCATGAATTATCAAGGGTGGAGGGCAATTCCTTTTCTCTTTTACATAGAGACGTGTAGGTTATAATTGTTTTTTTCCTTTAATAAATGAACTTCATTTTGCACTTGGATATTTAGTAATATTTGTTTGATAATCTGAAACATTTAAGTGTGACGTGTGACATGTTGTGCCCCCCAAGAAAAAGGGTGGTACAAATACTTTTTCACAGGACTATAATAAAAAGCAATGTTAATAATAAAAACAAAATAATTAGTTTATACAAGCAAGGCTTCAGTCTTTGAGACAAAAAACAAAAAACTTCTGTGTCACTTGTGCACCTCCCTCCCCCCAGATCCCTCAGCAGCAGCAGTCTACTCTCTCTATAGCACCTAGTGCTTTGTCTTTTATGCTACATCGTTTTATCTTTTTGTATGGCGAGGGACAGAGAACAGACACTTGACATCATTTCAAAGTAAGTGAAAACAAAAAGGAAACCTCTTAAAAAAAAAAAAAAAAAAAAATCTCCAAAAATATATTTCAAAGTTACACCATCTGATGAAAAGAAAAGGGAGGAAAAAATGATGGGAACACAGAAAAAGTCTGATGGGAATGTTTTGTTGTCATTCTTGTACTTTAGAGTTTCTGGTATAAAGTCTGAGCTGGAGTTTAGGTAGCAGCGGGATCAACCTGAAACTCTGACGTCTCCTACTCCATTTCCTTCCTTCGGTCACTTTTGTTTTCACATTCACAAACATTTAAAACTTCCTTGTGCAAATCAAGCAGTCTTTAGAAAGAATGCCCTCCAAAATTGTTCTTGTAAAAATATATAACTCCAAGGTGGCTGATGTGTGTGTTGCAGCAAATGTTAAAATTGTATCGATGTTCATCAGGTCTGGACACAGGGTTGTTTTGTAATTCAACCAATACCACCACCACCCATTAAGCTTCATAACACTCCCTTTTCTCCTTTATCCTGAAGACGGTAAAATGTGTTGTCCTTCTGGGGGTAGTTGTTTAGCATCGTTGGTTGGGGTTCATCTTCGTCCAGAGGGCATCTGTGCGTAGACAGGGTAGGCAAGGCGCACATTGAGTGAGTCATTGTGCTGCACCAGGGAAGTCTGGTGGTAGTGGAGCACCAGGTCCTTCAGGCTGCTGTAGAGGTTGTATGGCTCAGCAAAGCCAAAGCCACGTGGTGTACTGTAGATGACACAGTGCTTCACCTCCCCTTCCACACTTAGGAGACACACAGGAGAATTACTTTAGTTAAGACTGTTTTAAGGTTAAAAATTTGTCATTCAATGCTTTCTTTCTGCATTTCCAGTTTCTTCCAGCTAGCTTTGTTCTACTACTAAAGTAAACTCCCAGGGATAAAAAAAAAAATAAATAAATAATGGAAATCATATCAGTTTTATTATTTTGGTTACATTCAGTATTTTTTCAAATGTTAATTTAGTGTAGTGATTTAAGAGTTTTGAGTCAGTGAACTTGTTGGTTCTGTGAAAAAAATGACCTTTTTCATTAATTCTCTCAAACTACTACTTCCTAAGAGGAAGCATCTTATTCAATACTGACATTAAGAAAAATAAACATTTTGGAATCAAACCTTCCTGCTCTCAGGGTTCACTCAGTGTCTAACCAAAGTTTGGGTTGGGGGAAGACAACAGCTAACAACAACACTACTTTAGAAGATCAAATCTCTGCATTTTAAAACACGTTTTGTACTTTAACATCCTCCTGCCTCTGGCTCTTCTATCATCTTGTTATAGCATGCTTTTAAACTGACTTTTACAAAGCTACCATGTTATTGGGTTCAGTCTAAATATATAGACATGGACACATAAGTGGTTTTATTGTAACCATTGACTATAGGTTGCCATGGAAATAGAAAGCAATCAGCATGTAAATCACTGAGTTTTTTTCCCCTCCCACATGCTGTGAATGCATCATTAATCCCCCGTCTGAACTGGAAGATTTTCTACGCGGCATATCGTGTATCGCGATATAGCTAAAAAATATTGTGCATTACATTTTCCTCATATCGCCACCTCTACCACAGTTTTGTGTCCAAAAATGTTTTTTCGGTTCCCTCAAACGCACACTGTGAATCACAGTGTGCTGCAGACTTAAAAAAGCTCTATCATCATCTTCAATAAAATAATCAGCTTCTTTTCTGAAGCATTCAAATATTTCGTGGCTTAAAGATGTACTGCAAAAGCATGGTGCTATTGAAAAGCCTGAGAGTAAATACAATTAAAAGTTGTAGCTTTTTTGTAACTTCGATTCTATTTTAACAACTGTTTATGTATATAATACAAATGCCTAATGTTGTTGTTGGCACTGGTGTTCGTCTCAATGTGCAATATTTTGAAAGGTGTCCCAACATTTTGTCCTTGTGTACAAACAAGGAGGACAAAAATGTCACTCTTGACTTCATAAAGTATGGGTATGTAAAGTAAGACGCACATCACTTCAGTCATGTGTTGCATGTACTCACACTACAGAGCAGGCATAGCACCCTTTTTTGCTGCTTTCTCGGATAAGAAAAGCTCCATCTGGCTTCCCCAGGAGCAGCTCCTCTGCCTGTGTCCTGTTCAGATCCCCCACAAACCAGTTCTTCTCATCATAGTGAGGCAAGTTCTCATCTTCCTCACTCACAAAGTAACCTCTGCAACCACATACATATGCAATACATTGAGAAATTGCACCAAAGAAATAATATATTCTGCTCTTTAAATTAACAGTTGCTCTAAGTAAGTAAAGTAACAGTGTTTGGGTTGCAGCAAAGCAAGTAGAGACTCACTCGTCTGTGTTCTCATTCTTGATTCCCAGCCAATCATTAATTCGTTTCTGACGAACTCCTTTATGATTGAGCCAGCTAAAGAGAAGTAGAGAGAGAGAGAGAAGCATTGTTACTGCTAGGAATTGGTTTGAAACTTTGAAATTTGTTTATGTTAGAGTGAACCGGCACAAGACTGAAATTGGCAAATGTCCTCACAGAATAATTTGGGATGTTCTGCTGAGAAACTGCTTAACTTGTTCCTGAAAATAAAGCAGGCGCTCTGATATCGAGTTGAACTGGACCTTCCCTAAACTAAAGCAAGTTTCTGATTGAGCCACTTGATGTGCTTTTGGCTCTAGAACTATGATGAGTCAGATTTTCTTTGATGTCCATATGACAATCAATAAAAAAAACAATTATTTCATCGGAAATGATTCCACTGATGTTTGAGTTTTTTTGACCACATCTAATAACTCCCCATTTGACTTTCAAGTGTGTGTAGCTACCCCACAGATGTACAGCATGAACAATATAAACACATGAAAACAGGATCCTGTTCCAGGTCAGTAGGTTTTTAATGCTGACCTGCTTTGACCTGCTTTCTGTACTAATGCCATTGCTCATGTTTTTCTCTCGTCTTTGTATGCTTACACTAGATACTGATCCCTGATTTTGCGGAGCTGTATGAGATCAGGCTTTAGGCTGTTCATCTTTTTGTCTGTCTCCCGGTTGTCCATGGCTTGCGTCTTTAGGTCCTGCTCCAGCCGCACCTTGCTGTCGTGGATCTCTCCGAGGCGAGATTTAAGCTTTTCATAGTTCATCATGATGCGCTCAATCTCTTTATCATTGCTCTCACGCCTAAAACGCTCAATGTAGTCCTTGCTGTAGCGCTCCTGTGTGTGGCATTGCTCCTCGAAAATCTTGATGGTTTCATTGAAGGCTTCAATAGCTGTTCGCTTCATCTGGATCTCCTGCAGGACAAGATGAATAGTTGACACACAAAAAAGCCCCAAAAAACAAACAAACAAACAAACAAACAAACAAACAAACAAACAAACAAACAAACAAACAAACAAAAAACAGACATGCAAAAAAAGCAATGCATTTGTTAGACTAGAGTATGAATATACCTGTGATGTCTTGGTATACTCTTCATATAGTCTGTCATATTCTTTGCTTTTCTCCTGGTACTGATTGTGGTATTCCTGCAACTTCTTCCCCACTGCATCGATGTTGTCCTCCTTCACCAGCTGGTCCTGAGAGTCAGTCGGAGAAAGGAGCATTAGAGACAGAGTGACTTTCAGAAACTGACAAGGAAAAAGCTGGAGAGTAAAATCAAAAGCCATTTGTAATAAAAGGCCAAAAGGAAAAACAAAAATGCACGCACACACACTTATTCCCATTACCCCCGTTCTCCTTACTGAGGGTGACTCCTGAACAGGCTCGTTAATAAACCACCCACAATGCCCCAGGTGTAAGCCCAGGTGGGCATTCTGGCTAATCTTGCATAGTTCTGAGTAATGACTGGCTAAACCTGCCCTTTCATCACTGGTGCGTGCAATTGAGTATGTCATAGGAGCCGGCCGAAAGGGCAACATTTCAGCGTGCAGGTATCATGTAGCTGCTGCTGCAGTTTAAAGTGGAAACACTAAGAGCAAGTCATTGGGTATAGAGGGAAGATTGTTGGTGGTGTTCAAGAGGATACTGTTTAAAGATTATGAGGAGGGAGTTTACCTGCTGGAAGCGGGAGATGGGGTACATGAGCTTGACATCCAGCTTGGTGTTGTATTGAGCCAGTGACTCATGTCTGTAATGGCTGATGAGCTCCACCACTGAGCTGAAAGTCAGGGGGTCAGAGAAGCCGTACTTCCCATCTCTGTGGTAGATCTTTATCAGCTTGTTATTGCCCCCTTTCCTGAATAACAGAATAACAAACAAAGGCTTAAAGAGACAGGCAATGCATTCTAAAACAGACAGGTTGTCAATTTATATACACGCTTTCAAACATTTGAAGATGTGGCGTACAAATATTTATACACCATAGCTTCTATAACACCTGGGCATGGTATGACTCCAAGGCGGGATCTTTGGTTTTTCCTGACCTGCCCGTGTCAGGTTAATGAAGAAGAAGAAAAAAATAAATAAATCACATCTTAGCCACCAAACACTCTTTGCTAAACTATGCATCAGAGAATGGCTTCATATTTCCTGCCACCCTGCCCCTAACAAAAAAAACCCAAACAAAAACAAACAAACAAAAAAAAAAAAACACACTTCAGAAGAGTCTATTTTAGAACTCTTATTATTGACCATTACCCTGAAATGTTAAAGTTCAGCTGATGGTAAAAGCAGAAAGAAGGTGGAACTGAAACACAAGGCTAAAATATGTCACCAGGTTTGAAAAGAAATAATCAAACAAAGTCTAAACAGAGAATTATACTAAATAATTCAAGTTAAAAATGTATTTCCTAAACAAACATACGTATCCTATGCTAGTGTAATGAATTGTTCTGCTGTCAGTTGACATCATTAATAGGTTTTATTCATTTCTGTCTGAAAGTCAAAAGATGAACTAGTTATTAAGATTACATTCAGTCCGAGTTAACAAGGGACACACAGTGAAACAAAACAAAACAAAAAATACACAGAGGTAGAAGAGAATTCGTTTTAAGCATGTATTCTATTCCATCAAAACACACATCAGAGCTCAGTGGGGGGAAAAAAAAATTACGCTAATTTCTATTCTGTTATAGGCTGGGTAATCTGCTGGGAACAAAAGGATACCATGCACTTTGATGAAAATGAAAATTCTCAGCTTTCAGAGGATGAAAGTAACAAAATAACACAGTCAGCTTTTTTGCAGCAACTAAAAATGATACCCAGTTTTTATGGCTTCCACGTGCTTGTATGCATGCCTGATAACATCAGGGCATGCTCCGAAATGAGTTGACAGATGGTGTTGGATGGGAACTCTCCTCCTAGATCTGGAGCAGGGCATCATTAAGCTCCTGGACAGTCTGAGGTGCAACACAGCCACGCTGGATTTAGGTCAGGCAAGCATGGCTATGGCATCAATTCCTTCATCCTATAAAATGACTTCAGGTGGCTACTGTTGTGGTTTCGTCCTACATAACTAAAACTGAATTGAATGATATCCTTCAGGAATTGTCACCAAGCTCTTGCCACATGAGGCTGGCCGTTGTCCAGCACCAGGAGGGTCCCAGGACCCACTGCACCAGCACAGGGTCCTGGGGGCTTGGACAAGCGGTCCGAGGATTTCATCCTGATGCCAAACGGCACTCAGTGTGCTGTTGCCCACCCAGTGCAGGTCTGTCAATCTCTCCTTAGGTTTGGCTCTTCAGACCATCACTGACCCACCACTAAACTAGTCATGCTGATGTTACAGTCACTCAGGGTGAACCTGCTCTTATCTATGAAAAGCCCAGCTCAGACTCCACAGTGCCAAGCAGTGAAGTCCATTTCTGATTGTTTGGCCAGAGACATTCACACTAATGTCCTCCATGCTCTTAAGATGTTGGGAGAGACAGCAAACCTAGCAATTGTACACAATGATGTGTCATCCTGGAGGAGTTGGACTCTAACCCTAACCCTCTATAGGGGACTTGGTATCATCTCGTGCTACCAGTAGTCACACTGACACTAGCCAAACAAAAACAATGATTAGAAAAGATGAGGTGGGAAAATATGCCTATAAAACCATTCTTCTTTTTGGGCATTTCCTCATTGTTGCCTCTCTAGTGCCCCTGTAGTTAATTTCATTCAAATCAACGCAGCTGAAATTGACAAACAATCTGCTACTTAAATGACCAAATCAATTTCCCAGAAGCTTAACTGCCTTGACCTTATACTCTGATTAAAGAGTGTTCCTTTCATTTTTTGAACAGTGTATGACCAACCCCCCCCCACAAAAAAAAACCCAAACCTAAAATTGTCCACTATTACTATGCAATGCTAAAAAACAACAAAAAACAAAATAATAATAACATCAGCATGCTCCGACTATGGCAATACAAGTTTAAAATATGTCCAGAAGGCAGGCAACGCTCTATTATTCTTTATTATCTACCAAGCACTTATAGGAACCATCTCAAGTCTACATTCTTGCAGTTAACTAAAGGATAACAGCATTAAAGTGGATCAGAAGTGCTGCACTACTCTCAAGTTTGTAGAAATCGTTGTGTGGTTTAAAACACATCATTCAGATGCTCTGATATAGACATAAAGGTCTGTGTGCAGCGGCCTTACCTTAGCGTTAGCGTGTAGTCGCCTTGCATCTTAGTAGACGCGTCCCGAACCAGGAAAGTCCCATCAGGCATGTCTCTGAGCTTATCATTCACCTCCTCCCTGAAGACAAAATAGAAAAGAGAAACAGAGGAAGGAAAAAAAGGGTGTTTAGCTTGGTTGAGTGATCCATGCACAGATGGTGTTCATTTGGAAAAGTCTGCCTTCAATCATCAGTGGCAGGCGAGTAGAACTTTCTTTATAACCACACACCTCAAAGTAAACAATCCGTCAATTAGCAGTGCAGGGAGGGGTGATCCTAGCCAGCAGTGTCTCAGCTGAGGATAAGTACGTGAGTGGCAGACTGACTGTCTGCACTGTAGGTGTGGTTATCACTGTTTGTGGAACAGCTAACCTGCACTTAAAGTAAAGCAGTGACCTTAACAGTAAAGACAATTTACTGAGCTGAGAAATAAACTTGTCAGTTATCTCTGGAGGTTAGAGTATATCGAAGTTTCAAAATATATTGACATACAAAACAAACTAACAAGCAAACCAAAGAAACATAGAATTACACTATATAGTTTACTAATATGATGGTGTATAACATAAAGCATATAAAAAAACTACTCTATCCTGCAGTCTTTAACTGCTGGAGCCCTACCCCTACTGTCGCTATAGACTTTAAGCTCACTGTCAAAGTTCTCCTGCAGCATAGATGGACAGACAGTGCTGTGATATCTAACAAAGAATAATAACCTGATACTCTGAGTTAAGACTCAATTGATGCTAAACAACATGCTAAACAGGAAATGCTAATTTCAAAGCCACCAGACAACAATGACAAATATAATATTTACCCTAATGAATAATAAGTGTTACTGGTCATTTTGAGACTCTTTAACATGTTGGTAGCTTAGAACCAAACAAACATCAATGTCAGACAACTGACCAACTGTGGCCCAACTATAACTCCTATTATTTTGTGGTCTGACAACAGGTAAAGCACTGATAATACCCATATTTGCTTTTTTAAGATGTCTAAAATGTGCTGACCATGTCTGCACATAGAACACGCCTTTAGTTTCTGTCAGTGCAGGTCTTGTGTTGCTGGGGGAGGGGCCAAGCCTCCCACATCTGCATTTCATGTAACCTAACAATGTCACTGTTAAGCTCTCACTGATTTTTCTGTCAGTAACACAGTGTTTGCTACCTGGATATGTCACCCCAGTACCATTCGGCCTCTTGTAAGGAGCCTCCCGCTCCTCCATCCTTGGTGACATTGCTGCTGCCCCCTGCCATTGCGACCGAGGAGGGCTGCTGAGGCTTGGTTGGCTTTGGAGGAAGGGCTAGGAAAAAAAACAAAACAAACAAGTATTACAATTACTGTGTGTATAACAGTTCATATGTACATGATATTTGCATACAGTATAACTTGCCCTCAGCCCTGCAGCAAAGTTCAACCATCAGTCTACAGCTGCAGACAGAGTGTTGATCACTTTATCATTTAGAAATACTACTTTGCACAAACACACACAAAAATGTATGGTACCTCGCAGCCTCCTAGGCTACGTTCACACTGCAGGCGAAATCGCATCAAATCCAACTTTTTTTGACCCTATGCGACCCATATCCGATCATGGTATGACAGTGTGAACGGCACAAATCCGATATTTTCAAATCCGATCTGGGTCACTTTCGTATGTGGTACTGGATCCGATACATATCTGATATTTTAGAAAGCGACTGCTGTTTGAACGATCATGTCGCATTAAATCCGTCTTCTATGTCACTGACACAAGACAGATGCCAATTATCAGCGCCGGAGAAGACATCATGAACCCTTCCTGGCCATCCAGTGTAGATGTTAGTGTAACGTTGGAGAAACGTGAACATTTTATTTGTACTGTATAATCTGCAGATTCTGACAGACATTTCCAACTATCCTTTGAAGCACCGCTCCTCTCTTAAACAGCAATAAGGATAATTATTAGGCCATAAGTAAATAACAAAATAACTTTATAACTTAAAGCAAAATTGGGAAACCATCAGTCAAACAATACTGTTTGGTCTGGGTCTAAACAGAGCGCGTTGTGTGTGACGGCTTCTTTTGCGCATGCGGGCCGTTTGAGCGTTCACACTAGAGCACGTTTACTGTCACATTTTATTTGTAGTGTGAACAAGCAGACAGAAAAATCGGATTTGATCCAAAAATCGGAATTGAGCATTAAGACCTGCAGTGTGAACGTAGCCCTAGTAGACACACCTATTGTATCAATTTCAAAATCTGACATCACTGTGTTCGAGTTATTGCATTCATAAGATTTTCCAAAAACTTGACCTGTGAGATTCAAAATCAGCTGATATTTGTAGAAGATCCACCAATGGTATCAATTTGAAATTCCTACATCGCCACGTTCAAAAGTCACCAGATTCGCATTGAATTTTCGATTAAATCCTTAATATGTACACATTCTTTTTATGCAGATGATACACAGGAACTGTACTCATAACCACACCACATAAACACTGTAGCAGTGCAGCTGGTGACTGTATGGTTATCAATCACAAGTGAAGCGCCCATATATCATAGTAATTATGCCTTATGTCAGAAACCACACACGCAGGTCAACTTTCACGTGAGTGTTCCCGGGGCTCAGCAGGAATGCTGAGGTTTGTTAAATGTGGAAATCCTCATGTTGTCATATCTTCTCCTGTCATTAAATTCATTCTCCTGTTAGGTTTGTAATGGGGAACTCTGGTCCTTCCGCTCGTTTGTTTGTAGCCATTGTCATTGCATCATCAGAGTGTTAAATTTGACTGAGAACTCTAACAGAAACTCTGACTTGCATTCTTCCCATTGTGTTTTGGTTTTCAACGGTTATGAAGATCAAGCTGTATAAACCCATAACTTAAAGGTTTTGCTATAAAAATAGGTTGTTGTCTTGTTATTAAGTGCTTCTTTATAAAGGGACTGATTCTTATACATTTTTTACTTTTCTACTTTCCCAGAGCTCTCAAAGCCTTTTATACAACATGTCACAATCACCCATTCACACACATTCACACTCTGATGGATGCATTGGAGAACAACTTGGGGTTAGTGTCTTGCCCAACATATGCAGACTGGGGGAGCCAGGGATCGAATCACCAACCTTTCGATCAGTAGATGGCCTGCTCTACCTCAGGAGCTACAGCCACCCTCATAAATGTTCACTTTTACGTCACTTAAAGAGCTTAGTTCAGTTTGAGTAAAACTAACATAACAGGAGTGCCTTTGGTCAACGGGATCAATCTATAATGTTTCACAAGGTTTAGTCATTAAACAAATTTAAGTATCAACTGGAAATACAAACTGAAGAAAAGTCAATATATTTAACTGATTTTGTGAAATACTATGCAGTCTAACAAAAAAATAAACAAAAGACTGAATGCATGAAATAAAGGTTAACATTACTGAGTCTGTTTCAACTTCTGTGTTGCAACTTGTGGCGCTAACATGCAACTTCTATGCAAGACTGGGATTCAAATCTATATTTGATTGCTAAGTGTGAAAAAATGTATTATAGAGAAAACATTTCACCTTGCATGTCAAGTCAAGTAAAACAGTATGACAGTCTGCTCACACACTGACCAGTCAGTCAAACGGGATTGATGGTAGTTTCAGAGCTTTTGGTTTTTGAACACTGATGTTATAAACCAGCACATATTGTAAAGACCTGTTTGGTGCCATGCTCCATGCTAAACAGAGTTAACCGGACTATGACACATAATAGGAAAAACAAACAAACACATGCAAAAGTTTTCAAGTATCCAAGCACATCTGGACACAATTTAAGGACCAGCAGTGTAATATCTCTCTCTTGCTCTCAACAGAGTACTGATGTGGGAGGTGTCATTTAAAAACAAAGTAACCTGATGAATGTACTGAAATGGAGTGGGCTCCTCCTGCAGAGTGCTCACGTGCCAGAGTCAGCAGCATTTGGGAACACTGTGGCCTCACAAATTACCACAAGACACGCACGCACAGACAGCAGAAACAGACGCTTGAATGTGAGGAAGGGCTGAATAAAACCTGGACTTCTGTGTGCACGTGCACATCACCACTCACTGTCCGTTGAATGCTAACACTCACAGCAGCAAATAGTCACATTGTTAAGTTATTTCTGTTATTTTTAAGCAATCTATAGTTAAAATGTTTATGCTAAATACTACATAGGTAACTTTTGTCCTTAGGTTCGACTGGTGCTGTGTCACTACTATTCCACAATAAGGTTGCTGCTGGCACATTGCAGGACTACAATCACACTTCAAATTAGGTATTACATCAATGACAGCAGCTCACTGGAAAAGAACCATTGGGTATGTTCTGAATTTACTTGGGCTTATAAATGCTGCAACAATCATTGTTCAGCATTTTTTCAATATTATTAGAACTATTGTTCATCACAAATTTTCTTGAAATATTGTGATATACCCTCAAAATGATATCACTCACCACTAGGTTGAGGGTGACTAATGTGTTTAATTCATATCTTCTTTGGAAAAACAGAAGACATTTTTCCCAGTGCTATGAGGACTTAAACCTACAACATTTGCCCACTGGGGGGAGCAGAGCAAACAAAATGCACAATAATTGATTTGATGCTAATTACAGACATGCTAGTATATCTAACTGACAAAAAGCCACAGCCACCAATGAAACAATGAAAACAATACTTTGGAGCTATATTTTAATTGTCACATGATAGTAGTGAGAATTCACTACAAAGTGTGTGTGTGTGTGTGTGTGTGTGTGTGTGTGTGGGGGGGGGCAAAAGAGGGGAAGTGACAGCTTGTGCTCATCTATGCAAATGCTTGGATGCCAATAAACTAACACACTACATTTCAAAGAACAAAAAAAGTAGGAACAGTTTACATCCTACAAACTTTTTCTTCACTCTTTATTGTAAGACCACTTAAATAGAGACTGGTAGCCTCTCTTCCTCTCCTGTTCTTTGTTCCCTTCTCACTGACTATTCAACCCTTCTCCCTCCTCTCTCTCATGTCACCATGGCAGTCGGTTAGTGTTGCCAAAACTGTCGTCCTGCAGCTGCACTGTTCCCCTCAGTCAGCACTTTACAGACTAATGCTACACGTGTGCACTTCCAAGGATAGATGGGGTGGAAATTCATGTTATGTTTACATTGAAAAACACATGCACAAGTGAAATAGATTGCAAAAACAGAAAAAAGTAACTGATTTTAAAAAGCATGAAAATCAGAGTCTATGTGTGCTTGCAGTTGTGGACCACACAGAGGGTAGCGTGTAAAAAGCACAGAAGGATCACCACAGCTACAGTTAGGCAATCTCATTACCAATAAAATGAGTCTTTTCTTGACTTCATTACGTGTGTCCACTTTGCATATGTTACTTGAACACCTCAAACACTGAAGTTACAATGAGATAATCGAATTTCTGTCTTAATACACCAACTACAAAATGCATTTCTACCAAATTAATGACTAAAACAATTTCTGCACCTTTAAGTCTCTCATAACTCCAATACTGTATCTGGTAGTTTCTTAGGACAATGGACACAACAGAAAATAAGCAGTACACAAGCTCCAGATTGCAAAGTTCTATAAGAAAAATTAAGACCAGAGACCTGTAGAAAATCCAAACCTTCTGACAATGATCAGAATTTGTGGGAAATGTGATCTTATGTCCTAAATAAAGAAGAATTATACTAATCGGAGAACAGTCTTAACCACATGGACATATTTGGAAAACATTCAAAACTGCAAAAAACACGACTTAAAAAAATATGACCAATATAACAGAAACTGCTGAGCCCTTAGTCACAACTACTGCATAGGTCCCTGAGAGGAAGCCAGAGGGACGGTGAACAAAGGGGACCGTAGGTGCAGCCTCCCCCTCACCAAACAAAGGACCAGTGCTCACACATTCACATATGCACAGACACTTCCATATCAGTTGTCATTGTACATGCTGACAGAAGCCTGCAGCTCTCCTAAACAATAACTGTCAGAGTGGACAGACACATGATAAACTCACTTGAGACAAAGAGAACTCAGAGAACATGGGTCTTGGGGCATGTTCAGGAGTGCACACGCCAGCTGATCAGGGAAACAGGGCAGCAAAATTGAGGTTTGACAGATGTGTACCGACACAGGAATTCATACACGACAATGGAATTAATGCACAGCCTACAGTTAAAAACTCAAAGCAGGAAGCATGAATGTGTTGTTCTGAAGCAATCTGCTTTATTTTCACAGCTCTACATCTGGATGAGGTAAGTGTGAGTGTACGCATCTGTTAGATGAATGGAGTCTTTCAGACTATCTAAAGAGGATCCAGATTTCTGATGTAGTAAAGCTGATTAACATTTAAGTTGACAGATTGACAGAAATTTAAATTTGATAAAGCTGTTTCTAAATATTAAAATATTATAACTTTTTAAAGAACCACAGAAAAAAAATCTGCTTAAGTGACATTCTGTTGTTGGACTTTCATTTGGACGACTGATTGTGACCCAGTTTTAAAATACAAATGCACACAGAGCAAAATAATGAATGAATGCCAGTGCTCGCTCACATCCTCTGCAAGTTATGGGTGCTGCAGGAGCAATAAAAGAGAAGGAGGAGCTCTGTGTGTAGGGGAAAAGCTGAAAAACACTAAAGAAAGGGCAGCATAAAAATGCAAATCAGTAGACATGGATACAAAGAAAGCTACGGTTACATTTAAAAAAGCAAAACTAAGAAGGCTGAAGAGACTAAAAAGTGAAAGACATGAAAACAAGAAATCTCATTCCCTCTCTTACCGTTCTCCATCACACTCTCTGTTAGATGCATGTTTCCAGTTTTCTCTCAGCTGTTTCCCTCCTCCCTTTTTTCTGTCACTCACTCTCCTCGTCTTACTTGCACACACTCCCCCTCCTCCCTCCTCTACCACCACCACCTCCTCCTCCTCCTGTTCTCCACTCCGTCAGACTGAAGAAAAGAGGGAGCACAGCTCATTCTAAAAGACAGAAGATGCCCCAGCTAATCCCTGCACGGAGGCACGCCCCCTCATCCAATCAGAGGACAGCCCGGAGGGAAGGCGTGTAAAGCTCAAAGAAAGAAAGAAATGAGGGAGGCAGGGAGGAAGGTTGAGTAGGCTTGTGGTAGACCAAGTCCATCACACCACGCAATCACACACACAACAATGCAGCACCTCTAAATCAACAAGTTTCTACTGTGACTGCCAACTGAATTTGTATATTCATTCACTAACCCTAAACTAAGAATAAAAACAAAACTTACCCAACCTTCCAGTAAATTCAAGCCTTGTTGAAAACTGATTCTTGTTCCAGCTTCTCCTACAGGGAAAAGCTGGAACCAGAATGAGCTTCCAGCTTCTCCAACCAGAATTAGTTTCAAAAAAGGCTTAAAATGCAGACAAAACCATAGGTGCTGGACATTCTACATCTCCACACATTCTACTGGGCTATGCCTGGAAAGTTACACTGGTGGAAAATTAGCAGAAGACACCTCTGTCCTATTACAGAACAGGTCCTCATACTGACGTTTAGTTTCATGACAACGCTGCAATTTATTTACTTGAAAAACAAGTTTGCATCTTTCCGCTGACTCACATTTCAACACAAAACAAATTAATTTTATTTATACAGCACCAGCTGACAGAAATCTAATTATGCTTTATATGAAGTAAAGAGGCCACAATATCAGAGTGAGAACAACTATCAGACAATCCCCCTATGTGCAGCACTTGGTAAAAGTGGGGAGGAAGAACTTGTTTTTAACACGTGCAAGGAAGCATCCAGACTGCACAAATAAAGAAAAGGAACAATATGAATGAAAAAAATGATTTGTCGTCTTGGCAAAGGGGTCTTTTTCTTTTATTCAGTGTACACATGAATAAAAACTACGGAGAAGAAAGAGGAGCTGGAATGTATAACACTGCATTGTACTGCAAATGAACCTAGACATGCAAAAAGCACTCTGGTATGGTCCTTTGGCAACAATGTCCCGGTGATTTTCCATTGAAACACGAGACTCATCATTCACCCCACATCCACAGAGTGTCGCTTCACACACACCAAGTTGCCAGTGGATACGGAGGCCTTGCCCTCCCCTGGGGGTGGCAGTGACACTCCACCTGTGCTAATCACACCACAAGTACCACTGTACACACACAGGAATTCACACACTGTAGATATCAGTGAGGCGTTCACATTTCAATTCCAGTGTAATAAACATACACATGTAATGAACATCTGTGGACTTAGAGGTTTAGCTAATGACAGGATGTGCTCATTTGGACAAAAGAGCTGTAAGAATCTGAGTACTGTACAACCTAAAACCAACAGAAACAGTGAAGCTACTCGCATAGGAACAGAGGATTATTTGTCCTCTATAAACACCAAATCAGTCTACAAAAACACTCATATATATACACAAATGCTGTTCTGAAGGTTTCACATTGCCAACACAATGTTTGTTATGGTCCAAAACATTCTTGTTCACTACATTTTGTCAGATAGAAACAGTCTGCTGAGCAAAGCAAAAATCTGTTATTTTTGTGCCATGACAAACCCCTAAAGAAATGGCACTAGGCACGATAAAAGCCAAGGTCCAGTGGCCAGTTAAATGTGTGAATCACCATTAAATGGCCAGAATTTTGCATCTGCATCCCTAATGCACTGAGCAGCAGCAACAAAGGATTACCGACTGCACTTCAAAATACAAGGTCTAAAGAGAAAACGTAGCTGAAACAATACTTTTACCCAGCACAAGCTTAAAATATGTTGCATAGTCAAGCGTCCCGTGGTAAAATGCTAGCGAGCTCTAAGCCCAAATACTCTGCAGCATGCTACAAATAGACACAACACGGCACTGTGAGGTTGCTGCGGAGTATAGTGCATCTTAATAGATACATGGAGGGAAAAGAAAGGAGACGGGAAAAAACCCCGAAAGAGCTACAAGGCAATTCAACAGCGCCTCCTGGAAACAACACAACGTCCCACATCTGCGCCATGATCCATTGAGGAGGGGAGAAAAGCAGGGAGGAAGAGGAGCGAGTCGAATGACACTGGCACAATTGCCGAGGAATGAATGAATGAAACTTATTCAATTGTGGGTGACAGTTGGCTAGAAAAGGGCACAAAGACTTCTATATGTGTCCAAGTGAAGATCGTTTTTATTCGGAGATATTCAGGACGGTTTTATTCCAGGTTTTATTCATTTTCTTGGTTTCCTGCTTGTCCCATCCCCCCTCTCCCCCTTCCCCGCTCACGGCACAGCTGATTTTGGAATGATTCAGTCGGAATGGTTTAATGCAAACTTCAAGTGGGGAATAATACCAAATCTCGGTATTGTACAACATTTACCCGGTGGTCTCATAAGCCAAATTCTCCAACAGTTAAATTAAAATGGGTTAAGCAGCAGATACAGTCACCTTGGCTCCTATTCTATCATCTCATAGGCCTCTTGCAAAGCCATCAGACGCAGAGAAGAAGTGGGGATGCTTCAGTATACGGACTACACGGGACTTATTGTCTCCACAGTGAGACTGCAGCTACTGTGTCATCACGCAAATCTGTATCTTAATGTACAAAAGATCAGCTGTGGCGAGTGCACCGGACAGCGAGAAACAAAGAGTCCAAGGCGTTTAAAGCGCTGTCACTGCTGCTGTAAACTGCCATTTTATTTCCTTCGTCCCCGAATTACCTGCTTCTCAGCTACAGACAGCGCTAAGTTTATGTACGCTGTCACAAATGTAGCGAGTGTGCCTAAAACATCACGACTGCCCAGAAGCCCGCGAAGCCCTAATAAAACAAAGCCATAACTGCGTGACCGGTACGAACAGGACGTGAAATCTGAAAGCTTCTCTGCAAATTTCACCAGACACCAAAGCACACAGCTCCTAAACACACATCACTCCAGCTAATTAACTCCAGTCCAACTAACCATTTCCCCGCGATCACCGGCCTGAAGCTTACCTGGTGGTTGGTCCATTTCCAGATAAAATATCAGCTCTGTGGAGTAGGGCATCATCACGTCCCTCCAGTCTCCTTCCTCGCCGGCTTTTTTGGTCGTCCAGACTGTGTTATACATTGCTTTCTTGTAGCTTAACCAGGCAGTCTTTGTATTAGAAAAACGCTATTAAACAAAGTAAAAATGACCGGCGTACTTAAAAAAGAAAAAGAGAAACAATCATCGTGTGCTCCTGTCATATGCCTCCATGTTAATCTATCTGTTTACTTCTAAGTCTTCTATCTGAATTCCTGCTTCAGGATTAAATGAATAGACGAAACGTATACAGCAAGCACCGGGCTGCGACTGCTCCCTCGGACATGTTAATATTGTTAACAACTCGGGGAACTTCATGAAGGCTCCTGTATGTATGTGTGTGCATCTATCTGTCTACATATATATGCACATAAAGACTTCCTTTAAACGGTGGGTAAGTAGATGCCAGCTCTACATACAACCCCCTCGGCCTCTCCTCCGCAGGTGCCACCGTCTCGCTAGTTTCATTTTAAGAAACGCACTGACAGGAGGAGGCTGGCGGAGGCAGAGCCAGACAACGGCTGGGAAAACCCACTCCTACACGACATGCAGGGGAGGACAAAAATATCACCAAATATTCACATAAAACTTAGTGTAAATAAACTGCTCTTTAATGTTACATATAATAATATCCCTCATTTATTCATTGCCATTATCTAATCCATGTAGGAAATCCAATTGTTTATCGTCCCTGCCGATTTGACGAATAATTAATCGTCCCTTTATTACTCGAAGAGTGGTTAGCCCGTTTCTGTCCTCTATACGCCGCTGACAAAGCGCTCTGCGCAAGCTCAGAAGCCGAATTTCAAAGCCAGTAGGAAAATTACCTCAGCCTATGAAGAGCAAGTTACAAATACGGTGGTTTTCCACTAAGTTTCTAACCTTCGCCTGAGTCTGTGTGACTACATGTTACCAGCTTCTGTTGCCGCTAAAGCACATACAGCACCGACAGCTGTTTGGTATGACATAACATGCTGCATGATAACTACCAGTCAAACCAGGACTGAGAGCCAGTGCTTGCTTTATTAATTTCTGCAAATTAACTAGAAACAGGAAGATTAAATAATGACCTTGGTGAAATATACATATCAAGTAAGTTTTGTTTCTAGTTCATGTTTATAGCATTATGAGGTTAATTCAAACAGGCACCAAATATAAGGACAACCCCCCCAAAACAAATTAAAATCACTTATGCATGGTTTTGGAAATTGTCAGTAGCAGTGTGAATAAGATGGAAATACATTGCAACAGAGATTACAATGTGGGAGATTGTATGTTTGCATAACATACCTAAAGATTATGCATCCACATTAGCAACTATCCTCTTGTAGGATAGGCAACAATGCTTGTCCTCTCCAAAGGTACTAGCTGACTAAGTCCACACATCTTCATAAACTCCTTTAAAGTCTCTTTACACTAGCTTTTTTGAATTTTTGGTAATCCCCTTTCCCAAATAGTGGCAAGTACACCCTTTTTCATCATAAGGGTCTTTTCTGCTGCAGTGATAGAGCTTTAGTTTATTTGATCACTGGGCTTGTTTAACTACTGTTTAACTGCTATTTGCGATGTGAAGAAAACCTCCTATGGTGAGGTAAGTACAGTTACAGATAATATGGAA